ATAACATTCTTTCAACAGATATTCACTAAGTCGATTATACCACATGCGCCTAATTGTTTCAATCCATATAAAGATTTATTTAACTTGATCGAATAATTTTCTCAAGAACTTGAATTGTATGCTTCTAGCAATTTAAATCCTTCAGCAAGTTTCATGTAAATGTCACTATCGAGTGAACCACACAAATAAGCTGTAACAATATCCATTAAATGCAAATCGAGTCCTTCACTTATTACTAGGCTAATTAAATATAAAAAAGTAGTTGCATCCACTACTGTGAGTATGTTTCAACAAAGTCAATTCCAGGCCTTTGTGCAAATCCTTGAGCTATAAGCCGTGCCTTATATCTTACAATTTCACCATTTTCATTTCTTTTTCACAAAAAAAAACTCATTTATATCCTATTGGCTTGACACCTTCGGGTGTGTGGACTACAGGTCCAAAAATATTTCACTTTTCAAGTGATTTTAATTCTGCCTCAATTGCGTCTTTCCATTTTGGCCAATTCTCTTTTTGTTTGCATTCCTTAATGTACTTTGGTTCATGATCCTCATTATCATTTATTACATCAAGCGCTACATTATATCCAAAAATATCATCAATGTTGACTTATTCGGTCCCATTGTATTCCATTCATAATATAATTTATTGAGATCTCATTATTTTCACACATTTCAAGTACCTAAGTTTCTTCTGGAATTGAAATATTAGTAGTCTCAAGTGACTCTTCGTGAGTTACTAACTCTTCTTGATTATCCTTGATCTAACCATCTGTGTTTCTAGCTCCTTTTGTTTTTTAAGGATTTTTATCTTTGGAACCAATAGGCCTTTCATGTTTTATGTGTGGTTTAGAATCATTTGCAATAACAGGCTATCCAACCAGGACATTAATTTTAATTGGAGCATTAGCAGCTGGAATATGTGATTTAATTACTTTCTTTGGGTCAGTAAATACATCTGGCAATTGATTTGTTAAATTTTGTAAATGAATTATCTTTTAAACTTCTAGTTTACATTGCTTTGTACGAGAATTAAGATGAGATAATGATAATTTATTCCAACTAATTTCCTTTTCCAACTGCTCATTTTCTCCCCCTAATGTTAGGAAAACTGATTCATTAAAACAACAATCAACAAATCGAGCAGTAAATAAATCTCCTGTTGATGGTTCTAAATATTTAATTATAGATGGAGATTCATACCCAACATATATTCTCATCCTTCTTTGAGGACCCATCTTAGTATGTTGTGATGGAGCAACTGGAACATATACTGCACATCCAAAATTTCTTAGATGGGAAATATTTGGTTCCTAACCAAAAAACAATTCTAAGGGGGAGCTCTTAAGATAACTTGTGGGCCTGATACGAATTAATGATGCTACATATAAAATTGCATGCCCCCAAGTACAATTGGGAGATTCAATTGCATAAGTAATGGTCATGCAATCAATTGTAAGCGTTTAATCAGTGATTCTGCAAGTCCATTTTGTGTATGAACATGTGCTACAGGATGTTCAACATCAATTCCAAGAGACATGCAATATTCATTAAAGCTTGTGAAGTAAATTCACCAGCATTATCTAAACATATTTTCTTAATAGGATAATCAGGAAAGTATGCTATTAATCTAATATGTTGAGCAAGCAATCTTGCAAATGCCAAGTTACGAGAAGATAACAAGCAAACATGCGACCATTTTATTGATGCATCAATTAAAACCATAAAGTACTTGAATGGTCCGCATGATGGGTGTATAGGCCTGTAAATATTATCTTGTATGCGTTCTAGAAATGTGAGACTCACTTTCTATTTTGTTGGTGATGGTCGAATAATTAACTTTTCTTTAGAACATGCAGCACATGAAAAATCATGGGATTGTGGAATTTGTTGGCCTTTCAATGAATGTCCATATGATTTTTTGATTACCTTTCGCATCATAATTGACCTGGGATGGCCTAACCAGTCATGCCAAACATTGAATTTATTACCATTTGTAAACTTCTGGTTTACAATAGCATGTATTTCAATTGTATTAATAAATGTGTAATATAAGCCAGAGGAAAATGTAGTAATTTTTCTAGTGTGCACTTTTTACCAAAAATTAAATTTGAAATAATAAGATATTCTTTATTTTCTTCATTTGCTGTCTCAATATGGTATCCATTTCTGCGATATCCTTAAAACTCAATACATTTCTACTAGACTTAGTAGAATAAAATGCACCATTAATGTGTAATTTAGTTCCTCTAAGCAACAATATATTAGCTCTTCTAGAGCCATCAATCATCTTTATACTTCTAGATATAGTTTGAACATTGGCTTCCTGCATTACCAAAAAAAAAATATTTTTTATTTTTGAGTATTGTATGAGTTGTTGTATTATCAACGAGACACATCTCCATTATTGTTGTTGGTACCAATTAGATGAATACTCATTCTTTATTTAAAAAAACATAAAAATATATAATTAAAACATGGAATACAAAAACTTTATTCATTGAAAAACAACAACATTATAAGTAAATTCTTTATTCCAATGCAAGAAAATTAAAATGACACTTAACTACAAAATTTAATAATATCAATATCTAAGAAATTTATTTCTAAATATTTCCATCAAAATCTATTTGCCTCTTTGTTTTTACTTTTACTTTTAAGTGATTCTTGGTAAAGATCAATCAAATATTTTGGAATGCGACAGGTACGTGACCAATGACCTTTACCACCACAACGGTAGCATAAATTTTCAGTATTATTATTATTATCCCCACTTATTCCTTTCTTGTGTTTTCTTCATTATTTGTCCACTTCTAGTGTAACGATGTACTACCACAACCATAACCACAGCCACGGCCATGACCTCGTTCACGACTATGGCCACGACCACGACCATAACCTCGAGCTAATTCATTTGGCACTGCATTCACTTTAAGGAATGAGGTAGAACTAGTTTGACAAGATTTATGATTTTTTATCAAAAACTCGTTATTTTGTTCAACCACAAGAAGACAAGAAATCAATTCAAAATATTTTTTAAAACTTTTTTCACGATATTACTGTTTAGGAGCACGTTGGATGCATGAAATATCGAGAATGTTTTTTTTAACATATCATCATCAGTGACTTTTTCTCCATATAATTTTAGTTGAGAACTGATTTAAAAATTGCAGAGTTATATTGACTCACAAATTTAAAATTTTGCAAACGTAAATGCATCCAATCATAACGAGCTTTGGAAGAATTATAAGTTTTTTAATGGTCATACCTTTTTTTTAAACTGTTCCAAAGAACAAGAGGGTTTTTTATAGTTAAATACTCAATCTTCAACCTTTCATGTAAATGGTGACGAAGAAAGATCATGGCCTTGGCCTTATTTTAATTGGATGCTTGATTACCATTTTTGATTGTGTCTTCAAGACCATTGGCATCTAGATGGGTTTCCACATCTAGTATCTAAGATAGATAATTTTTTCCAGAGCCACAAACTCAAGTTTCGAAAGATTCGACATATAGATACTATAATAAAAATATGATAAGAGTTAAACGATATTCAAGATTAAAAGGATCAAATGGTTAGAAAATAGATCAAATCATATATGAACATAAAAATTACCTTACAATGAGAAACCTTACTACAAAACCTGTAGATTACCAAAGCTCTCGTGCTGATAACGTGTTATAAAATTAATAACTAGAAAATAAAGATATTGAGAGAAGAAATAAAGACAAGAGAATGACAGAATTTCTTATGAATTATTGTCTACTTCAATACAACTTACATGCCCTATTTATGGGCATTGTCTTACACATCAAAAGTTACATAAATGATAAAAGCAAATAAAAGGTAATCAACTCTCATGATGGTGGAGTTTCATGGGAGAAGATGATGAAGATGGATATCCACTATCTTGTAATATTCATAACATTCCTCAGGTACTTATAATTTCAATGTTTTCAGTGTTTGTAATTGGTGTAAGAAATGAAAATACTAAAAAAAATTACAAGAATTAAAAGTAAAATCTAATTATTATTATTTTTTCATTATTTAAATTTCATATATTTTTATTGATTAATATTTAAACACATGATTTTAACTTAACTATTTTATTTTTATTTTTATTTTAATTATATATAATTATCTTATGATTTTTTCAGTTAATAAGATTATCTTTAAAAAATATAAACCAATAAATATTATTTTTATAAATTTGACCCTCCTCCATTTTTTGATGCTGCATCTTTCATGCTTTTCTTTTTCTTCAATAAATTATTTATAATCTTTTACGCAAATGCTCATATCTAAACGTGGGTTTCATGTTTTTGTTTTTAAATGTCTGCTCCCCGTTGTTTGAATATCTACAATGAGTTCAGACAAAACACACACGCACAACACACATACCACGAGACAAGAAAGATTGTAAATGCAAGCAGCCACGAATCTTTGGGAGAGCAAGTGGCCAAGCACCATGCTTCTTTTTTTTTTTAAAATAAATAAATAAATCCCCTCTCATCAAAAAATATAAAATATTTTTAGTTAAATTTTATTTTAATAAAATAATTATTTTTCTTCTAACTAACTTTATTTTTTTATATTTATTTTTATTTAACAAATAAAATTATAAATATTTTAAATATTTTAAATTTTTGATTAAAATATTTAATAATATTAAATACTATTCCTAATTTTTAATATAATTTTAATTTTTATAATTTTATCTTTTAAAATATAAAAATTAATATTTTAAATATTTTTTTTTACTTGAGTTAAAGTTTAAAGATTAAAATAAAAAGTATTTAAAAATTAAATTATAATTAAATTATAATTATAAAAATTAAGTTATGAAAAATTAAAATTAAAAGATTAATTTATAATTAAATTAAAATTTTAAAAATTAAATAATTAATTTTTGTAATATTTTATCTCTTTCTTAATTTGAGAACTTTACATAAGGCGGCCCATTCCTATCTTAGAAGGTTTAAATCCTTGGCTTATCTTTGGCCCTCGAATCCTTTTATCCTCTTGCGTCGTATTTGTGGGCGCTGTATCCACCCTTGGTTGAGGGTTCGAAGACGTTCATCTCAATACTCAAGCGGAAGCCATCTCGCTCCTCCAAATCTATCTCATTGTCACTTCTCATTCTTTACCTGTAGTCCATCTTTGGAGTCTCTCGCTTCTTCTTCCGCTGCAAATGGAAGGATCTGGAGTGGTTACTGTGTACGCAAATGGCGCTATCACAGAGACCAAGAAAACTCCTTTCTCTGTTAAGGTGGGTCTAGCTCAGATGCTCCGCGGCGGCGTTATCATGGACGTTGTGAACGCCGAGCAGGCCCGCATCGCCGAGGAGGCCGGGGCTTGCGCCGTCATGGCCCTAGAGCGTGTCCCCGCCGATATCCGAGCTCAAGGCGGCGTTGCTCGAATGAGCGACCCGCAACTCATTAAGGAAATCAAACAGGCGGTGACGATTCCTGTCATGGCGAAGGCCCGTATCGGCCATTTTGTGGAAGCTCAGATCCTTGAAGCGATTGGGATCGATTACGTGGACGAGAGCGAGGTCCTGACTCTCGCCGACGACGAGAACCACATCAACAAGCACAACTTTCGCATTCCCTTCGTTTGCGGGTGCCGGAATCTCGGGGAAGCTCTCCGGCGAATTCGCGAAGGTGCGGCCATGATTCGGACCAAAGGGGAAGCAGGGACGGGGAATATCATTGAGGCGGTTAGGCACGTGAGGTCCGTGATGGGTGACATCAGGTCTTTGAGGACCATGGACGATGATGAGGTCTTCACTTTCTCAAAGAAGATTGCGGCTCCCTATGATTTGGTGATGCAGACGAAACAATTGGGTCGGCTTCCAGTGGTTCATTTCGCGGCAGGTGGGGTTGCAACTCCGGCTGACGCAGCCTTGATGATGCAATTAGGGTGTGATGGCGTTTTCGTAGGGTCTGGAGTGTTCAAGAGTGGTGACCCCGCGAAACGAGCCAGGGCTATTGTGCAGGCTGTGACCCATTACAGTGATCCAGAGATTTTGGCTGAAGTTAGCTGCGGCGGGTTAGGCGAAGCCATGGTGGGGATCAATTTGACAGACAAAAAGGTTGAGAGGTTTGCGGCTAGGTCGGAATGAGTGCGTTCATTGGCCTCTATTGCTTTCGAAGAAAGTGAGTTGTTCTTGCTGGTCTTCGGTGATTGATGATGTAGTTGTAGCCTTATATAAGTTCTTGACCTTTTTTCAGTATAATAAGGTTATGATTTGCTTCATATGTTCAGAAATGTTGGCAAAAACGCTAGCGCTTTTTTTGGGGGTGTAATACGGTACTAGTGTTGTATGGAGCAGATTGATGGCTATTAGCATTTAATCTAGGATGTTTTCTGAAGTTGCCTTCATAAATTTTAAGCAATCATTGTTCCGACTTGCATCTGTTGTTGATCGTGTTATTATGATTCGATTTCCTCACCAGATTCGGAGAGATCTTAGTTTTATCAGCCTAATCAGGTTCCCCCTGTCTTTCTGTATGCAAGCTTGCGGGCTTGGTGGCGGAATCAAAAAATGCATAGGTCATATTTGTAATAATGATCGCTTCATTTTGGTTGTACTGAAACTTGGTTGAAGTTTTTCTTTCAAATGTTTATATTTTTGGATGCTGCTTTAGTTTCAATTTCGTGACTGCACGAGGTTCTGTTCCTTTTAGTTGCGGTGCCCGTGCCCGTGCCGCTGCCACCTTAGCTTGTTAACTGAACCTAAATAAAATATGCAATACTCTGCCCTGTTGTTGTTTTGCTGTAGCTAACAATAGAATCTCAAAATCTCACTTAACTAGTGTTGTATATCTTCTAAATGTATAATCTTCATCAGGAATACAATGGATCTCCCAATTTCTCTCACCCCTGTGCTTTCGTCTGTGTGATTCAAGTCTTCCGACTTTTTCTGTCTCTGATCTGGATATGGAAGAGCCACATTCTAAGGAGGCTTTTTCATCACCTTATTCCATACCAGACGGAGATTCTTTGAAATCTATATTCTTGCCTTCGAGTTCTTCCCAAGTTTGTAAAAATATTATGACGGGGGTAATCCGAATATCAGTCTCCCAGCTTGAGCCTCAGAGCACGAGCTTAGCCAATTGACTGAGCGGAGGTAATGGGGTTTTCATGATATATATAATTAGGGATGATGTATGGTCGTGCATCTGTTTATATAGTAATAATTAGATGTTAGTCTCCTAGCTTTAAGCCGGCTGGGTAATAAAGGAGAAGAGGTGGGGGTAGCGTTGTGTATCTTGGCAATTAAGGGCATGTTTGAATTACATTCTAATTTCAGTTAAAATGAGTCAAATTGAGGTTAGGACTTAGGATGCAAAATGTTAAAAAAATCTTGTTTGCATTAGCATAATTTTTTAATCTCAGTTAGCATGTAAATGCACATTAATTAAGAAGCCCACTGATTTGGCTTTTCTCTCCTCAGCATTAATGTTGTTGCCTGTTGGAAGCATTAAATGTATTTTAAATTTTGATACTTTCTCTCTCTTGTCTTCTATCTACCCGAGCTGTACCTTAGCTTCTTGTGAGCGTTGCTTGTATTATCCTATGACTTCCCAATCTACTTCAAAACACAAAACGCATAGCTCTACGCCTTATATTTGCTTCCTTCCATAAGTCATAGGCAACGTCGTTCAATAGCCGATCTCTATCATGTTGAAGCACCAAGTGACCTCCGGCCAATCTCCAACTCTCTATCGTCCTTTCTAGCTTCCATCGTGTCACTACTTTGAAGTGCTTCTTCTCCCTATCGCCTTTCAATCTCCATCGTGTCCACTAGATTTGCACTTCCCATCGCTGGATCTGCTTCTTCTACTTTGAAGTAAGGTTCTTCTTTCCGTCTCCTTCCTTGCCTTCCTTAATGTCATGCTTTGCTGTTCCTTCTTTGAAGATTATTTCTTCCTTGACTTGAATGCTTGGTGATGATCCTCGATGGCCGTTTCTGAAACTCAAGATTGTTATTTTGTTTTTCAATCCCCTATAATGAAAAATGCATGTAATATAAGTACAGATGCCCATGGACTTTCTCGACTAAATTGATATCTGCTTGTTATTCTCTTTACTTTGCATCCCATATTCGTTTATTTTAAAGCAGAGGAAGATATAATACATGTAACATAAGATGTAATGAATTTCTAGAACTCGAGTCGCTGATTTTTATTTTCTTTTTCAATCCCCTACAATGATAAATGTGTGTAACATTAGTACAGATGCCCATAAGATATAATGCGTTTCTGGAACTCGTTTATTTATAATGCTGTTAGACCAATATGAAAGCTTGAGATCTGATTACAATCCCCTGTTCGTTCATTTTTCGGTGAGTTGAAAGCCTCATGTTTGTGAATCTTTTTTTTTATAACTAAAATACTGGATTCGTGTAATGACTGTTGAAAAGAGAGATACAAACAGGATAGTATTTATAAGATGTTAACCATATGTTAAACATCACTTGAAGACATAGAGATCAATTACAAGCTTTTGTTTGAGTTGAATAATATTTATAAAATTTCAAGTTCCAATTTCAAAGTTTTAAGTAATAAACTGTAGCCTTTGACTTGGATAGGAAGAAAATTAGAGAGGAAAAAATAATAGAAAAAAAAAGCTTTGAAAAATAGTAAATTTTCTTAACTAAGTTTAAAAGTTTTCTATTCTAATATGCAATTTATATGCAATTCCTAAAAAGCTCTAAAAAAGCTCTCTATTTTTCTCCTATTTTAGCCTAAATGTTCATTTTATATGCAATTCCTTGTTTAGGAATATTTTGTTCATTTCATTCTTAGTTAAGATTAATGTCAACTAAGAACCCAAATCTTTGATTGATATCTTTGAAAATATGGCATATAGCTCTCTTCTAAGGAATTTATTGATAAAAAGGCTACATGAATTTAAAAAATGCCAAATTGAAAATCCAAGTCTTTGGGTGTCATTTCTTAAATTAGTGTTCTGAAGAACTTGTCCCTCCACCCTCCCACAATATGAGGTTTCTTGACAATATGATGTTTTGTTGAACATTGGCAACATGGGCAATTCCTTCCTTGTTTTAGAATTATTATTTTCATTTAGGTTTGCTGTGACTCTAGGATATGATGGTAAATCGATATATATATATATATATATATGTAGAGATATTTATTGATTTTGTTTGTTTGTGATGGTCGGCTAGTCTATAGAACAATAAACAACGACAAAGGAAAAGTTGTGTGAAATTCAACCTTGACAAAATTTTCATTAAGGAATGTTTGGAGCAAGTATACAAGAAACAAAGGAAAGGAATTGCTTTCAACAAAAATAGGTGGCAAGCAATAATTGAGGGGTTTAAGGCAAAAACAAGAAAAAGGTATGAGAAAAAACAACTGAAAAATAAGCTAAACAACATGAAGAAAGAATAGAACGTATGGTATAAGTTGTTTTCAAGTAAAACCGGCTTAGGATGGAATAGTGACAAGAATATTGCCGATGCTCCAAATGAGTGGTAGGAGCAAAAATTTTTTGGTATGAATTAGTTGTTTAGTGTTTTTTAGGTTAGAATTTAATTTGAAAATTTTAATTGTTGGTTACTTGACAAAAAAATCTCCTCTATAAAAAATTTAGATACAAGATAAAGATAAAAGTGTAGATGTCCATGAGGAAGATAATGATATCAGTGAGGCATCCTCGTCAAATTTACTCAGATCGTCAAGACATATGCAACATATTCATGATATAATTAGAGATCAACTTATAAATCATACCAATTGAATATTAATTTATTTTAAGTTTTCATGATTGAATATTTAAAATATTTTACTTATTAGTTATGATTTTAAGTTTAAAATTTTTTACTTATTAATTAGTCAAAAAATATAAACATGCTTATTTAAGATTTAATATTTAAGATAAAAAAATTCATACTTATTTTTATCATTAAACATCTCAACTGATTTTTAAATCAAATCATTCAAATAAATTTTAGTTTATCTAATTGACCTTTTTTTTTTTTAAAAAAGGTGCCTAAATATAAATTACATTAAATTAACTGACTTTTCTTTTAACATCAATTTACTAACCTTAATTATAAATTTTTTTAATCCAAACACACATTAAGTCATGCACTTTCACCAATTTTCACCTACTCTCTTCCATCTCATCTTTGTCAGCATCGTTGTCAATTGTCATCCTCCTCAATTTTACCTTATGCAAAAGCATCTGCTTTTACAAGATAATCTCAATTTACATTGAAATTATCGGGAAATTCCAATAAAACCGTCCTTTGCTAATCAGATTGTTGATGATGAAATCCAAGTGTATAACATGTACATGATAAGTGGATAGGAACTTTAAATTAGAAGAAAGAAGCACAATTAAAAAAAAAAATCAGTTTAAGCAATTAGACACGGAATGTTAATGCCATCACTGTTCCGAAGCATAGGAAAGCGGAGTAGTCTCAACTTTGAATAAGAAGATCGCTTTGGCTTTGATCAGCAGCAATGCATGCAGAGCTACCCCCTTTGCCTTTTCATTGGAATGATCATAGGCCTACAACACACGAGAGCAACGAGTAACTCCATCATGAATGTCATCGTTGTGATCCATATAAACACAGTTTTCTTCCAACGCCAGGTAATCCACTTGAGAAAGGGAGGTTTTGAGTCGAGAACTAGATGTGCACCGTATAACTCAGGAATGCCAGAACCAGCTTGAACACTTGCTCGTTGCTCAAGTGTCACTTTTAAGCATGCGGTAGGCTCATCCCGTTCAATAAAATCTTCCATCTTGACATTCAGAGTTTGAGCTTCCGAAATATGGCCAGAAACCAGATGAGCAAGCTTCAAGACGGACAACATTTGACGAATAAGCCCACTTCTGAATCTTAACATTAATGGCATGCTCGAACTGGCGATGATTTTACCATTAAAAGAGAGAGAATCTATCCTGACCTACATAAGAACAAGTCTTAGTAAGCCATATTATATTCATTTTGCAGTGAATAAATATATGGGACACGCACCTGGAAGACCCCAAGATTTTTGTTGTACTCAGATTCTGGCACTAGTAACGATAGCATGACCTGCACTTTGCGTTTAGAAGGTATCACCCGCTCACTCGTCCTCCTATTATCTGCGATGTTATCCCAATCGTTTCCAGCACCAACACTTGGACATGATATTAATGGCACATACGCAATCGGACTCTCCTTCGTATAATCGAAATTCAAAATTTCCGTCTTCTGAATTGGCTTTTCGGATATGTACTTCATCATAAACCCACTAATTACAAGTGATGAAACCAGGAGAACGAGTAAACTGATAAAAACATAGATTAACCACAAGATGCCCCACCCACAACGCAAGCCAATTTTCCAAATTGAAATGCGATCCTTTAACCATCTATATAATGATGGACTAACCCTCTCCCAGAAAATACCCCACACTCTGGGCGAAATCCATAGAATAACCATCTTGCCTGCCCTAAATTTTCGAAAGGGATCGATATAAAACATAAAAGAATGATACAGAAACCACATAGGCAAAGTTATGAACCTGACGAAAAAACTAATTGGAAACCCAATTGAATTGAACGCAAATCGTGCTATTAGTTGAAACAAATTTGACGACGGATGAGGGGGGTTGGCCACAGCGTAAGATGAATCACTGGCGGAATCATCATTTGCAGCAGTCGTTACCATTGATTCTTGGTTGGTCTCCTCCCTCGCGCTACAAGAAGCTGGGAAAGAGCCGCATCGTCCTCGGGTCGACACGGGCCTTGCAACCACATTCTGCTTTTTACAGCTCATGATCCTGATATTTGTCAAATCATTGTCGGAACATATGGAAGCCGTGAAACCAGAATCTGCCGATTCTTCGTCCCAGGATCCGCGACAAACTGGCCGGCTCCGGATTGTGGTGGCTGGAGATGTGGTTGCCAGAGGAGGTCGGGAAGGCGAAAATTGAGGTTCGTCTGGGACCGGTTCAGGCTTACATGGAATGGAAGACGAGCAAGAAGGTTCCGATGGGCCTTTGCCGGTACGGTAATCAAGCACGTCGGTAGAGACGTCGCCATCATCATTCTTTGAGTTTTGCGGGCCCATTTATTATAATCGGGCTTTTGAGTTTTGATGATGCCCTTTCCTGTTCTTCGGCAAACGGTGGCGTGTAAATTTTTATGTTTTTGATTTTGCATACTATTCTCAATTATATCTTCCTTAAATACGAATTATTTGAATTTGACATAAATAATTAAAATCCATTTTTTATATATTTTCATCTTAATATTTTTTATTATGAAACAATTATGTGACCCATACAATACATGGGGTGTGAAAAAAATAATAATTTCAATAAACAATAATACAACAACAACAATAACAAGTTTTTATCCCATTAGGTGAGATTAGTTACATGAATTATAAGACTTCATTATACTCTATCATTTACAAAACTTTTAAAAATATTATTAATTAAGAAATCATGTTTAACAACTTTCAAGAAAACACTCTTAAACCTTCCTCTACCCCTCTTAACTAGACTCAAATTTATATATTTCACTCTTCTTACTGGTGCTTCTCACGGTCTTTTTGTATATGTCCAAATCATCTCAAACGATTTTCTATAATTTTTTTCAATAGATACTATCCTCACTTTTTCATGTACATGCTCATTTTGAATTTTATCTTTCTGTATATGTCCACACATCCATTGTAACATTTTCATCTCTGCCACTCCAACTTTACACTCTTGCTATCCCGTTAGAGCCCAATATTTACTACTATATAACATAGCCGATCTCATAATAGTACGATAAAACTTTCCTTTAAATTTATTAAGCACCTTACGGTTGTAAATAACTTCTTTAATTTTTCTTCAATTAAACCACCCAACTTAAATCTTATGTGAAATATCCCCACTAATTTCGCCATCATTTTGAATATACGCTTCCAAATATCTAAACTTTTTCACTTGAGGTATAATTTGATTTCTCAATTTCACTTTCAAATTACGGTCGAATAGCCTTTTACCAAATTTACAATATAAATATTCCATCTTACTCTTACTCAGACGAAAACCTTTCAACTCCAATGTTCTCCTCCATAACTCAAGTTTACAATTAATCTCTTTTCTTGTCTCTGCTATAAGAATTATATTATCCGCAAAGAGCATACATTTGAGAATTTTCCCTTAAATATATTCCGTCAACACATTTAGGATCAAGTTAAATAGATAAGGACTCAAAAATGATTTTGATGTAGTCTAATTTTTATAGAAAAGTCCTTTGTTTGACTATTAGAAGTTCTTATATTAGTTTTTACCCCTTTATGCATATTTTGTATAACTTTAATATAAACAATCCATACTCCCTTTTTTTTCAAGGCTTTTCAAAGTACTTCTCTTGATATACATCAAAAGCTTTTTCCAAATCAATAAAAACTATATGTAAATCTTTATCTTTACAACGATACTTTTTCATTAATCCCCTTAGTAAATAAATCACCTCTGTAGTTGATCTACCTGACATAAAACCAAATTGATTCTCAGAAATACTTGTCTCCAATGTCAGCCCATACTCAATTACTTTCTCCCACAATTTTATTGTGTGGCTCATGAGTTTAATCGCTCTATAGTTAGTACAATTATGAATATTGCCTTTATTTTTATAAATAGAAATTAATGTACTTCTCTTTCAGTCGTTAGGCATTTTCTTGAACCGTAAAATTATATTAAATTAATTAGTTAACTATCTCACCTCTTTTTCACCTAAATATTTTCACACTTCAATAGATATGCAATTAGGTTTGTTGGTTCTACCATTTGCCATTTTTTAAGAGTTTCATTTACCTTGTTATCACGTATTATTCGATAGAATGATAAATTTTGTTCTCCTTCACGAGTTACTAAATCCTCCAAGTGACTAGATGAATCCTCTCCATCATTGACAAATTAGGTATTATTATTTATTTAATTTCAATAAATAATAATACTTAATACTAATTTAAAATCTAATTAAATAGAAATAATTTTTAAATTAAACTTATTAATGTTTAAAATAACTTTTAAAATGAATATAGATAATATAAATTTGGGTACATTTGACAACATCTAGAACATTTAAATTAAAGGAACCTCATCAAAGAATTGACGTGGCCCACATATTTGAAAATAATGTATGAGTATATATAATAATAATAAACATCTGATTAAAATGGAACGATATAGAGAATATTAGCATGACCTCTGTGTAAGGATGACAGATGACACGTATAAATTGAGAAATGATGATGATGATGATGAAGAGTGACCTCTTAATATCTGAAACATTTGGATTCAAATAAAAGTTAAATCTTTGCAAAGTCAAGTCAAGAAAACACATAATCCAAAAATAAATAGGAATAAAAAATTACTAACTATAATTACAAGTTATAATAAAAGGAAATGATATACCGCTACCTTATATTGAATATGTAAAATCATATATAAAATTTGAAAAAAGGTTAAAAAAATTATTTAAGTAAATAATGATACTCAATTAACATTCAAGATTTGAATTCTTTTTGAATTAAACATATATATGATTGAAATCATAAAGTGGTTGTGTATGAATTTATAGGTAAATATACACTTGATTATGCAAAACATGTTATTAAGAGGATATATATTTTCACATAGCCTATAGTGTATTATTTAGGAGCGTCAAATTAAAGAATTTTGCAATCATATATGACACTGTTTACAATAACAACTACAAATTATTGTGTTTAATAATGCACAACTCCACAAGACAAAATTTCATCACACAAATATAAACTATAAATTGAAATTCACTCTATACGATTAGTAGAAAGTGTTTTTGCTACATAGTTAAATGGATGCTTGAACTAACCCACGAGCTTTAAAAATTGGCAGATAACTTGACTCCCCAAAAACAAATGAGTAAGTAGAGATGAAAGCAAGAAAAATAAAAATCAACATGAACAAAAAGCGTTCCATATTATAAAGCAATATTAATTTGAGGTAAATTAAATTTGTAAGGTTTGCATAATTAACCTACTTGCAATGCTCTCATAAAATTTAAGACGGATGTAGTTGAAATACACTCTTCACTACTTTTGTTCTAAAAAACTAATGCCACCCCAACATAAAATGTAAAACTTGTAATAGGCTGTTGTAACATCCTAGATCTTAATTTGTAGAAAATAAATTAATTATAAATAATTTTGAGATATAATAAGGGAAATTTGAGACATAAAAAATATTGTACATTTACTGAATATTAGAAATTAAGTAAAATAACTTGAAAAAGATTACCTAAAATATTATAAATTATAAGGATTTAATTTTAAGTCAAATAATAATTATTATAATAATGAAATGAAATAAAATATGTGTGCATAGATGTATTGATTTTTTTCACATATATAAAATTATAGATACATTTATTAACAAACTATAATATATAATATACAAAAAAAGCGCTGTTGGGCCACCGCCCACATGCCAAACCCATTAAGCTATTAAGCTAATGTGCCGAAACCTACAGGCGTGCACGCATCCGCAGCCATGTTGTCGCGGTGCTGCGTTGTGAGGGAGGGAGAGGGACCAAGCGAGATGAGCGGGTAAAGTAGAGCATCACAAGTGGGAGGAGATTTTAGAATGTAGATCTCAATTAGATATTTCAAATATGATATGATGCTTCTTAAAATCAGACTCGGAAGCTCTTATCGCTTGAATTTACTGTGTGACTATTCATAAACTCGAAAAATAGATAATTTAGGGTTTTTTTTATATGTGCGGAAACTCTATGTGATAACAAACACATATAACTATAAAATTTTTTATTAAAAATTCATAGGTTACTTGAATCTCATTAAGCACGCAATATATGTATAATTGTTAGTGTTTCTTTTTCTTTTCAAGCATGTTTGTAATTTGAGTTAATCGGATAATATATATTGTATGTGATGTAAATGCTGTATATATGTGGTATGCATTAAGGATGGGTTGATGAGGAGATGATGTGGATGTATATATGATGCAATGACCACATGATTTGCCTCCACTGCAAGCACAGTGGTTGGTCTTTTTAAGAGCCAGTTCCTCAATACTTATCTGGTTAGGTTTGTAAAAGGAGACGTGGCAGTGACACCTCCTGGTTAGGTTTTTTAAGGAGGGGAGCTATAGTTTGGGTCTTGGGCTCTGTACCTTTAGATGGGCATATCTCTGACATTGAAGAAGCTATGGTCAGTCTAATATGTGGGTCAAATTGTAGTTAAGCCTATGGTTTCAATTAGTGGGATAAGGCTGAATGTAACATCACGAATTTCTAATCTTGTATTAATTACTGAATACAGAATGGATTAGTGATTTATTGTGGGATTAGAGTTTTGGATAGTAAAGTATTGTATTAACTCTTTAGGGTATTATATGAACAGATATGAGAAAAAAAATGAGGTTCCAGAGCAGAGTATGTGAACATAGTGAGGATCCCTCATTATGCCATGTACCACGGTAGAGAATGGATACACTGCACGCATGGTGCAGAACTTTAATAAGTAGCTTCGTGGAATAGCTCATGAAACAGAAGGAGAAATAGAGTTAGAGGTGTCAAATGTGGAGAAGGTGCCAACATCTGTTAGGGCAAGCGAAATTGGGAGCAAGAGCGATATTTCCGACCTGTTACTTATCAGGTAAGTCTCGTACTACCTTAACCTCTGATTCTACCCTGTTTTCTCTTAGTTTTAACTAGTGAGAAATTGAATTTGAAAGTTTTAAGGATTTGATTTCTTATCCTATAGTAATAGAAAGATTCTCCATAACTAAGCTAGTACTTTGTGATTGGTTTGAGTCGGAACGATAAAGTTTCGAAGCCATAGGCACAATTTGCCCTAGTCTAGAGAGAGAGTAGTGAGAGAAAATGTGATTGACGAAAATAATGGTTGTGGTGAGTGATAATTAAGCATGATACGTATGAACGAATGTGAATTATGGAAGTGATAATGATTAGGTATTTAATTGTGATAATTGACACTTTTGTCAATAGTAAGATTGACTTTGGTTTACCAATTTTACGTAGATTCCAGCATGTAATGGGTAAATTATGAAAAGGAGCTTGAGAACGATTATTGAAACATGGGTAACCGTT